GGACAGCCCAGACGCATCTGGGCTGTCCGCTGCCCGCGTGTTCCGCCGCTTTGCTTCCTCTCCCTCGTCTGCTGGAGACCAGGGAGACGGCCCCGTGCATAACTGCGGATCCGACGTAAGTCGGATCTGCATAACTCGGGGACTGCCTGTATACATACTACTTATTTACACTTTATTTTACTCAAGAACATGGGAGCGTGAAAAATTTTTGATAACCTCATTCCAAAATATAAGTGCAACTGATTTATCCTTTTTCTGAATTAAATGGGTAAAGCACATTCAATGATATACCCCCTTGTCATGTTACTGGATTGTGAGGGGAGCAGCTGGGTCACTGCTACAGCCATGGGGGGGTGTTTGCCCCAAAAGTGGTACAAAGGGGGCCAGGTGAGGGGTCAAACAAAAGCTTACTTTCTTCTGATTCTGTATCTGCTCTTCATATATCTGTATAATGTCTGTGTGTGTAGTTAGGAATCTGTAATCTGTATGGAGACTGGAAGTCTCTCTGAATATGGTTGAGCATTGGGCAGAGCCCAGCCTATGGACATGCTAATTAGCGATGCCCTGTGGGACAATAGCACTCAATGGGCCAAGGACACACCTCGGGAATGGTGACCGACACCTGAGGGCTGCCAGCAGGTAACACAGTGATAGGCGCTGGCCAGGTGACCTGCTGCAGCCAAGAAGAGACCAGGAAGGAGGTATAAAGATGCCAGGCTGACTCCATCTTGGTACTCTGCTCAGCACTTCATCCCAGAGGCAGCAGGGCAGGGATCGAAGAGCCGGAAAGAACTGTGGACCCATCCTGATCTAAGGATGCCCAACAAGGACTTTTAAGCCAGCAGCTGTAACATCTCTGCTAGAGCCTGCATCGAGAACTGGGAGATTCAATGCATGTAATGTACTATCCTTTAACAACCTTACTCTCATGCTTTTCTTTATTGTAGTAATAAACCTTTAGATGTTATATGCTAAAGGATTGGCTCAGTGTGATTTGTGGGTAAGATCCAGAGGGTAAATTGACTGGGGATCTTTGGCTGGTTTCTTGGAACCGGACAGAACTTGTTCGGGGTAGGTGGAATTGGGTTCTAAGACCCCCCACCTGTGTATGAGGCCCGGGGCCATCTGGGGCACAGATATGGCTGGGATGTCGGAGGGGTTTTGCTCATGAGGCTTCAGGCAGGCAGCTCTGGGACTGGTTTGTTGCCTATTTGGGAAGGTCTCCAGTCTGGGGGCTGTAAGGAGCCCCAAAGCTGAGCAATTTGCCCTGAGCGGATGCCCTCAGCTGTGCCCAGACACGGCCCGGTCTGCCACACCCCTTCTTTTCCCAAATTATATTTTCAACACCCTGGAATATGTCAGACTGATATTTAAGGGCTACCACCTGGGGGACAGAGATTTAAAGAGGTCACAGGCATAGATTCCAAAACAAACCAGGAAAAGAAAGACTGGGCTGGTATAATCTCTGACTAGTATGGGAACAATTTAGTTGATGGTAGGACTTCAGGAAAGCAAGTAATTAATCATTACCAACTGCTTGAAGATCAAGTGAGCCATATCCAGCAGCTAATGTCCACAGCATTTAAGTATCAGGCAATGAAGATACACTTTACAGTGCCAGAATTAATATTCCAGCATTTTCATATGTATATAGGATGAATTAATTACACAGTATGGCAAAAGAAAAAGACAATATAATTTACAGCAGAGTTGAAAATTATACGTAAGAGTATTCCAACAAGTATTCTCAATAACCTGAAAAGTGTTGAAATCCATAAAATACACAGTTTCTTCATTTCATATAATCAAGGAATGTGTTCTGCCTTTTATATGCATCTAACTTGTGCCCTTCCCAAGATCTGAGAGAAAAGTACACTGATGGAAAATGATGTCCCTTGGTTCCTATTCAGGAAACTAGTCTTTGTAAAATATCATTTGTAATACATAAAGGAATTGCAAATGGCTTTTAGACCTTGATTTTATAAGCATTTTGTCCTTTTTATTTTATCTATTTAACAGAGAAAAATAGAGAATGAACACAAGTTCCATATACAATGTGTCCTTGGAGAGCCACAAACTGTCACACAAGCTCACAAAAACTACAAAGGATCCAAACCTCCTTACATTTAAAACAAATAGCAAAATCCTCATTTACTTCAAGGGGAGCAGTATCTGCATCATGTATAGTACAAAATAAACAGTGCCTTGGTGCTATGACTAGAATGCATTATTGCTCTCATATTTCATATTGCTACAGATCTGAAGTGTCACAGAAGATTTAAATTTAGCACATTTCCATTGTTTTCACTTTGGCAACCAATAATGAACCCTAATCATCTGCGTGGGAGCATTCGAAGGTTTTTCATCTTCTGAGTGTCTAATTCTAGATATTATGATTGTGTCTTACTTTTGCACTTAAATTACTGGACTAAATCTTCAACGGTCTTAAATCCTCATGGCTTTACTGATGTCCACAGAGCTAAACCAGTTGGCCCATTATTAATTCAGTGTTTTGTTTCTTGTAGTCAGAGTTTCCAAAATTCTACCAAGCACTTGTCTAACTACAGCTTTAAAATGTTCAAAATGTATCTCTTTTCTCAAAATGACTACAAGACTATATGACTTTCCCACATCCCACAGGTTGAGAGCCACTGGTCTAGACTAACACCGTGCAACAAGCTGGGATATAAATTTACAGTACACTAGCTGCCCATATGAACTCTGGTTTCTCCACGCTCAATGTGCACTGATATGCACTTATGTATTCCTGTTCCAGAATGGGACTGATGTGCACTAATGTATTCCTGTTCCAGAATGGGACAGATCAAAGCATACAAGGGAACTTTTAATTTACAATGGGTGAGTGGGGGTACAGACAGTTAATGCTGGGATGCTGTACATTTGCACTCTAGCTTTCTGCATATTGTTTGCTAGACAAGCCTATAAGGTTGTCATTCCCTCCCCTCTCCAAACATACTTTCCTTCTCTTTCCTTTTTTTGTAATACTCTCCTAGAAGTCACATGCTCTCTCTTTTGATCTTTTCTATTTTGCAGATTTTTAATCACTATTTCTAAATAGATTAGGTCATAAATATGTCTCTGTATATTTGCGTGGTTTTGGTCTATCAGAATCAGAGCTGATCACAAAATAATGGTAAATTTCAAAGCTGGTGAAGATAACATTTGTGGGGTAGTCCACAAAAATTCAAATAAAATTTCCATTAAAAAAGTCAACATTTCAAATTTTTCTACCAGTTCTAATCTCACTTATGATTTCAGCACAGTTCCAGGGATAGCTAATTGCCAAACAGCCAGGAGAGAGTATGGAACACAGTTCTCAAAAATCTTTTCATTATGGAAGGACCCAGAAACCTTTATCAGGACTAGGGCCCTATTATGCTTTGAGGTAAATGGACAGTCCCAGTCCTGGTCCTGGACAGCTTACAGTGAGGAGCAACATAGGTGGCTGTCACTTTGTAAATACCCTTCCCACTCATATATTATACATATACTCACATACCCCGATATTTTAAAAAAGGATTTATAACTTTAATAATTACATAAATACTGACTCTTCCCAAATGGCCTTCAGACCAGCTATTACAATACAGTGGAAACTGTACAATTAGGGGACATGCAGGACATGCCACATATGCCGGTCCACAGTCACAGGGGGCCCAAATCAACAGATTCACAAGTGAAACCTTCAGTGAAAAATTATTCTGGTAATTAATAGCCATGCCCAACACAAAATAAATTACAAATAAAAATAACCTTGTGTCAGTTTTTCCAAATGTGGCTGTTGCTATAAGAGTGTTTTTAAACTTGCCGGTTACAATGGCATCCACTGAAAGATCATTCAGCATGCTGAAACTGCTGTCTACAAAGGACCAAGAGCAGTTTACAAACCTGGTAGTCATTTCAATTGAGCAGAAACTTGCATGATTCACCCCCTACACAGAAGTCTGGTACAAATGGGCTAGCATGAAGGCAAGATGTGTTGACTAATGCTGCTGTTTACAGTATAACGCATGTCTCAATAAGCCTCCACGTTGACTAATTAGTGGATTATTTCATGTGATATTAAGCAATGCAGGTGATTGTTCTCAATTTAAATTATGGAACATTTGATATTATTAATAAATTGGGAAGTGCTGATTTTTGACTTGCATAAAGTCACCGTTTTTGTTCTTAAAAAAAATACTAGGCACAATTAAAACTACACAAACTTATTTAATCATTCTTTAATTCACTGAGAAGATGGGGTAAAATAATTAACTTAGCTAAACAATAATGCTGAAGAGGTGAGCCACGAGAGGAGATGGGGGACCCAAAGTCATATCTAGCATGTCCTCCCACCCCCCAGAGCTAGTTGTGCCCTGTCCAATAAACATATGTCAGTGTCTCTTGCTGTAAGAGACTGTACTATACCTGGAATAAATCCCGCTGATCATGTCATGTTGGAAAGAAATCTCTGCTGTATTGCTGGGACCAGCTGCTTTGGAAATAAGCAATACGACCAAACCTCGCATTTGTAGGTTGTTCCGGCTATCATACACAAGCCCTCTGCAAAAAGAAGGGGGAGGGGGAGAGAGAAGAGAAAGATAGATCAGGATTTTTCATAAACCACTTTACCTGATCACACAAAATATAAGTAGAAGGGCTCAGCCTCCAGGATGACATCATCATTTCATCTAAAGTCTCTATTATTCACATCCAAGGGTGAAGAAAACTGCAGTTCTCAATCAAGATCTTTTGCCATTTTTAGTCCATAACTTTTAGTGATATGTTACCAATACCAACAACACAACACTTCAATCAGGAATTCCCATTTCTATTTCCTAGGAGAAACGTATACCCAGCAGTTCTGTAAAGTTGTCACTAGAAATATTTTTAGATAATTTGATAGTTATACAGCACAACAGTAATAGTATGAAATGTTTTTTACAAAATACAAAAAGCCAGCAAAAGAGATGTAAGACGGGTACAACCCAAGTAAAAAATATTTTTCTGAAGATGATAAACAGAGCGTCTATATCAGAATATACAAACTTATTTGCATTTTAAGAACAAAATTAGCAAAACCATAGAGAACAATAGATAAGATTTCCCTAAAAGTACAGGAATTAAACTCACCAGAGAAAGATTAACAGTTTGAACAAACAGGAAGAACTGCTGCAATGCTGTTAAAACAACCTCCCTAGTTCAATTGGTAGAGCATGAGACTCTTAGTTTGAGGGTCATGGGTTCAAGTCCCATGTTGGGCAATGTGCCCATCAGGACAAGAAACAATGGGTTCAAACTGCAGCAAGGGAGGTTTAGATAAGACATTAGGAAAAAATTCTTAACTGAAATAAATTGCCTAGGGAGGCTGAGGAATCGCCATCACTGCAGATATTTAAGAGTAGGTTGCATAGGCATCTATCAAAATAGATGGTGCTTGGTCCTGCTGTGAGGGCAGGGGACTGGACTTAATGGCCTCTCAAGGTCCCTTCTAATTCTCTGATTCCAAATGTTATATCTAATTCAGTTCTTTTTCCACTGTTTTAAGAATTGTCCATGGCAGAATTACCACTTAGAACGCAGCAGCCCAAAAATAAGTTTGCTTAAAAACAATGTTCCCTCTAATTTTTTCCATCCATATGCAGAATAAATTTTGTTATGTGCACCACCAATAGAAATATATGCTGCTGAGTGACTTGCCAATCAGCTGGATGGCACCTGAATCTTTCCTGGGTGGGCATCCATGTACTCTGATTATAGGGAACACTTCTTAAAAACAATCTTTGTTCTCCTCTTGGACCCCAAAATTTCCAGTATCTCTGCCTCCTAGTCATGCGCAGATCGCTGGACAGCGTGGCTGGCGAGCAGAGCTCGCCGTGGTTCAGCGAGCCCTGCTTATTGGGTAGATGAGTAGGGACTCGACTACTCACTCCCTCCCCCCTTGCTGCCTCTATCAGAGAGAGGCAGCAAGGGCTGGGGATCAGGAGCCGGTGTGGGGGGAGCCAGCATAAAAGCTGATTCCCCCCAGCACTGTCTCGGCAGGGGGGGGGGGCATGAGCAGGGAAGGCAGAGGCATAGCAGGGGGAATGGGCACGAACCGGGAATTAGCTGTCCTGGCTCATACCTGGTCCCAGGCTTTTAATATATTTAAAAAGCAGAGGCACAGTTTCTGGGACCCAGTGGGAGCTGGGACAGCTGATTCCCAGTTTGCTCCTAGTCCCCCTGCTACGCCTCTGCTCTTCATACATTTAAAAGGCAGAGCCGCAGTGGGTTTAGCTTCCAGAGTCGGGAGCTAACCCTGCTGCAGTTCTGAAGTTTCCATCGACTACTCAATTAGCTGATTAAACACAATTTAACTTCCCTAACTATAATTCTCTGGCTTGATCACTGGAAGAAATCAGATCATAACTGTCAATGCTCTAGAAATATCTATTTTTTAAAAGCTAGGTGATATTTATGTGTAAGGAAATCTAGCATATATTACTTAGTCTCATAATATATCATAGTTGCATATTACAAAACTTCGCCACCATTTTACACCCCAAGACAAACTAAAGTATCTTTAAAAGCATCAGAGGAGTAGCCGAGTTAGTCGGTAACTGGAAAAACTTAAACAACCAATAGTGTTGCAGCAACTTAGTTCGAATTACCTTTTAACTGCTGCGTGTAGCCGTGGGCAGTTAGTCTCGACTAGTGGCATTTAAAAATGGCAACCGGACGGGAGCATGCAAATAAAGCCCAGGATATTTAAATCCCGGCCTTCATTTGCAAGTTCGAATGCCTACATTAGCCTCCCTATTTCGAACTGCGGGGCTAGTGTAGACATATCCTTAGAGACTAACATCTCTAACATAATACCGTCTACATGTTTTGTTAGTCTCTAAAGAAGGTGCTGAAAGACTATTTTTTTTATTAGTTTTTAAAGTACATTTCGTACAGTATCTGAAATTGACAGATCTATAAATACAAAAATTCACAATAAGTGTTAGTGACAGACAATGATGTTCACAGTGAAGGCTGCCACTGCGTCCTTGACTCATTCCATTATGTCTCAATAATACTTACTGCTTCTATTATGGTTTACATTTACAAAGTGCTTTACAAACATTAACCAAAGTTGCAGTACATGCAATCCACAAATATTGATTGCCCTGACATGTGAAAAACTTGCCATAATAGGATGAGTTAAAGGAGGACAGCAGAATGATGGAGCTCATTCAGCAGCTTTTCAGGCATATAAAAACTGCTTTGTAGTTTAAAAAAAAACAAAAACAAAAAACACCCGTAGTTTGTTGGAGAAGAGAGAGAATGGATTATAATTATTCAAATCGAGACGAGCCAGTCATGCTATTTGTATGTAGGAATAAAGCAGGAGGGAAGAATCCAGGAAAGAAAAGCTGAATAAAGAGGTGAAAGAGATCAAGTATGGCACTTCAAATGGTGCCTCCATAGCAGGGGGCAGACAATAATTTTTGACTGGGGCCCACACTTTCCTATGGAGGGGCAGTGGGGTCTGGGATGGAGGTTGGGTGCTGAAAGGGGCTGGGGGTCTGAGAGGGAGTTTGAGTGAAGGAGGGAGCTGTGATCTGGGGTAGGTGATTGGGGGGTACGGGTGCAGGAGAGTATTCTGGCATGGGAAGGCTTTAGAAGGGGGTGAAGGGTCTGGGATGGAGTTGAGGGGGCAGAAGGCCGGGGTGCCAGAGGCATGCTCTAGCTGGGAGGTGCTTACCTAAGCAGCTCCTGGCCAGCAGCGCTATCAAGCAGGCTTCCCTGCCAGCACCCCCAGACCCGCTGGCTGGCTGTGCATGTGGCTCACTGCGCTGCCGTAAGAAGGGAGGGAGAGACTTCGTGTGCTGCCCTCGTCCCTACTGCTCCTGCCCCCCAGCACAATCTCTCAGCTCCCATTTGCTGGTTTTCGACTAATAGGAACTGAGAGATTTTGCTGGGTGCAGGAGCAGCATGCTGGCTCCT